GTCAGCAAAACGTTCAAATGACTGCATACTAAAGTCATCCATTTAGGCACTATATAATTTAACAAAACAATGATTAATATTTTTTCAACAGATGTCAATAATTGATAAATCTTGCTATAAACACAAAACATATTTTGGGGTATGTTTATTAGAAATATGTTTTTCGTATAAAATATTGTTGGTAGCAAGTATTCAGAATATGTTATAAGCTTACTTTTTACCTCACCATGTGCACATGCTAACACACGCATGCACATATTCCCATGCACAAAACAAAATATCCATATCATATATGCTATATATATGTCTGTATTATTATTCCAGATGCTGAATTGTTTACTAACATGCTTAAGTTCTCTTTTTGACAGTGACAACCCCCTCTTATGGATGAATAGCAGTATTAACTCTCTCTCATCATCTGGTATTCTGATAAAACGTTATTGCTGTCTGAAATATTCAACTCTGTTAACTGTATAGCTGGTAACTTTCATAGTTTCTTGGCTAACTACTGTTGATGTAGGATATGTGTGACATTGTAAAAATACACAAGGCATATCCTTCATAATAATTGGCGGTGGTAATGATCCCTAACACCTTTTTTGTTCGGTTTTATTTATCATAGAAACCACAGAAGAGGAAACTTGTCTTAAAAGAAAGAAAACATTTTCTGTAGATTTATCATTATGCATAATATGCCAATCAACTAACAAAATCAATTTACACGACGGAACAGACATGGGGTTTCAAACAATAAAACAATCAGCTTATGCCAGACAGACCGCAAGATTCAGTCTCGTTCGATGCTACTGGTCGCATTGACAGTATTAGTGTATCACCTCAAACAGTATCATGGCATAGGAAATGCTACTCAGACTTTACACATAAGGGTAAAACTGATCACTTCAAAATCAACTCTACCAACATCTCATACTGGTGTGACGTCACTGGAAAATCTAAGCATTTCTCTGTCTCGTTCCACTTCTGTAACTTCAAGTGGAACACTGCGGGAATCCAGAAGAACGTTTTCTCCAATTATGTGAACAAAATGCAGGGGATTTCAAACAATAAAAGATACAACTCCTTTGATGCTTTGGTAGAATTACAGCATTACTTTATCGTTGCCGAACATCAAACAACCGCGGGACTTGTTTATGATTAGTAGCGTAACGAAGCTCTTTACACAGGAATATCATTACGAGGTCAGTAATGCTTTCTTTCTTGTTTGGTTTTGGATGTGGAACGTTAGTGGGCAGGAAGGCATATTTTATGGTACTTCACTTCGACTGATTTTAGATCGGCAACACACCAGCTAAACGAACTCGCGCCTTGTTGTCTAAGGCAGATAATTCAATAATACTGTTACTGACGTTAAAAGATGTCACGGATATCAACTTCTCTATTGGCTTCTCGTCCTGCACATTTTGGGGATTGTTGCCTAGTCTATTGTTCTGTTAGAAACATGTTTTTGGTGAACAATTACAATACTTAAAGTGATGAAGTTTGTTGTCAAGAAAATCGATCTCTAGCTTTCGCAGCATTCACTGCAGTTTCTAGATGCGGTAAAAGAGGATATTTGTTACGTTAATCACATCTAGGACGGGCTAGCAGGTTCGTGGATAATATATAGGCAACAACATTACATAGATTAACGATTGGATTGTCTTGAGACGTATTTCATATTTATACTTAACTACGTACGACATGTACAAGGAAAATCCGTGGACAGTGTATTTTCGGTTTTTAATGATTGAAATTTGTTTTATCAAAATAGAACATAATTACTGGACGTTGAAACAGCTTCACTAGTTATTGTTGTTTTTATCGTTATTCCAACTGTACTTTATAATAGACTTGATTATTTCATTATGAGTACTGAACATGTTCAGCTGTAGTGTGAAATTCAATCCGAGTACAACTGTACTTTATAATAGACTTAATTATTTCACTGTTAGTATTGAACATGTTCAGCTGTAGTGTGAAATTTATCCTGATTGTAACTGTACTTTGTAATAGACTTAATTATAATTATTTCTCTGTTTGTACTGACTTGGCGCTCGACTCGCAATCTAAGGGTTGCGAATTCTAATCTCCGCCTCACCAAACATGCTCTCCCATTTATCCGTGGGGGCATTATATTGTGACGGTTAATCCCGCTATTCGTTGGTAAAAGAGTTGGCGGTGGGTAGTGATGACTAGCCTTCCCTTTAATCTTTCACTGCTAAATTAGAGCAGATAGCCCTCGTGTGGCTTTGCACGAAATTCAAACCAAACCTGTTTGTACTAAACATATTCAGCAGCAGCATCAAATTTAACCTATTAAAAATGTACTTTATAACACAATTATTTCACTGCTGGTACTAAACATGTTCAGATGCAATGTGAAAAATTTTCTGATTTGTACTGTATAATAAGCTTAATCATTTCGCTACTGGTACTAAAACAGTTATAATCAGGATAAATTCGACGCTGTAGCTGAACATGTTCAGTGCCAACAGTGAAATAATTAAGTCTATTATAACATATACAGTCATAATCAGGATAAATTTGACGCTGTAGCTGAACATGTTCAGTGCCAACAGTGAAATAATTAAAACTCTATTATAACATATACAGTTATAATCAGGATAAATTTGACGCTGTAGCTGAACATGTTTAGTACCAGTAGCGAAATGATTAAGCCTATTATAACATATTCAGTTATAATCAGGATAAATTTGACGCTGTAGTTGAACATGTTCAGTGCCAACAGTGAAATAATTAAAACTCTATTATAACATATACAGTTATAATCAGGATAAATTTGACGCTGTAGCTGAACATAGCGTTCGTTTTAAATAGGAACAATTGCATTTTTGAATTTGTAGGTTCCGTACAGGAGTTAGTCTATAGTATGTAATATATTATAAACAGAACAATGTATCGTGTGCATATCTAACGCTTAATTAATTATTATTAGAAAAATAATCGGGAACTATTTCAGAAAAAAATAGTTTATAACAAATTATGATGAGCTAAAATAATACAAGTACTGCTTGCGACCATAATTTTCTCCAGTTCGATTATTATTACAATGAATTCTCTCTCTAACTAACCAGTCAAATATATAAAACAAGAGCGTGAAAGTGTAAGAAACACTGTTACGTTTAGAGAATAATTTTCATTACAGTCAGCTTCAAATTGAACTTTATAGTGTTCATAAGTTGCCTTTTTGCATTTAGTTCAATGTTACCTAATCAACATTACCGAAGTTAAGTTCTTTTACAACGAGGCTATCATTTCACTTAAGTTATGCCGCTTGTTTTTAAATGGGGTAGTAAGGCAGCATTAAGATTGTCTTTCTTGAGGAATGTTCTGGTTGAACTAACAAGATTTACTGTTGTTGCTGATAGTTCAAAGAAAAAAAATACTATGAAAAAAATCCCATTAGCTAACTATCGCTTTTGTTTCCGCCTTAACTGCTCGTATATGTTAACCTATGTGGTCAGAGAGAACATGATCTTTCAGTGTCTTCGTTTTTGTAAATTGAATTTTATCTTGATATTATCCTTTCAGGGTTATTTTATTTGTTGTTTAGTACTAACACTATACTGGTATTATAGCAGGATTTTAACTTGAAATATACTTTTTAGTCTACGGTTTCTTTGTTAATGGATATTATTGTCATCATCTAAATTAATGATGCATCCATAAAAAAGTAATGAAGCACTGACATTGTGTTCGTGAATAAATTTGTTTTCAAGGGCAATAAGACTGTTATACTCAGACTTTTAAGAGATGGACCCATTCTTTTGTTGTCACGGCCGGGTACTCCGCCGGCGTCCTCGTTTCTACAACTATCACGGTATTCCTATTCTCATCTGAGAATACAAACATTATTATTAGTGTTGAATCTTCCAAGAACTTGATGCCATTGAAGGGCAATAGAATGGTCCTATCAAAATTTGATCTCCTGAAATTGTCACCAAAATGTTTTCCACGGGCAATTAGCTAATACTTCTAACAAGGAAATATATGCTCAACGCACAATTATTTAACATATATATGTTCAGTGAACAATTACTTAGTTTTTTTTAAACAATACTTTATTTGTCATGTTCGTAGCACTTCTTAGTTATAAAGGGCCGAGCGCGGCTTAGTGATTAGCGTGCAGGACTGTGAAGCTAAAGTTCCGTGGTTCGCGTTCCGTTACCCCCAAAAAACAGCAATTTGGTGCCGTGGGTATGCTGTAAGAGTGGCGATCAAATCCCACTGTTCGATCTGACAAGTGGCGGTGGGTGATGTTGGATATTTGTCTTCCTTTTAGGCTATCACTTCAAAATTAGGGACGGCTAGGATAGCTAGCACTCGAGTACTTTTACGCGAAATCCAACAATGAAAGAAAATTTAATCATAAATATTTTGAACGAATTTTGACTTAAAATTTCCAACTGTAAAATATATTTTGTAAAGATAAGGTATTTCATTCTTTTTAACGAACACATGTTGGCCCTTCGGTAATGCTCTGGAATTTGGAACAGGCGATACCCCAAAATATCTCCCACATTTTAACCCTTCAACTGCGGTTGACATCATATGATGCAAGCATTTTGCGCACAAACTTTGAATGGCCCGCCGCAAAAATCGTGAATATTTGCACATGGAGTGGTAGACAAATTTACACAAGCCACAAACGAAGGGTTAAGCTGTGGGTGTGTTATAAGAGTGACAGCCAGTCCTTTAGCTCGAATAAACAATAAGCCTGCATACAGTAGTTGATTACGTCATTTGATATTGATGTTTTGTTAGGTTAAGTGAACCGAAAGTTAACAATTAATAAACATGCACGCTTCATTTAAGACCATTAGTTACCTTCAATGATGTAATGTTTAACTTGGTGATTTGTATAATTATTATTCAAGCTGCTTATGCAAGTTTATTTTATACAATAATAATTGCTGAAAGTAACATTGAGGAGTTACGTTAATGTCTTTAAATTCAAAACATATAGTGCAAGGACTTACATGTAACCACGGTTAAGTCGGCAGGCTGGTCCAGCCTGGTAGGGTGGGGGCCCCAAGTCTCTGGTCAGTCGACAACGACAACACAACAAATCCATTGCTGCGTCACGGAAGTCACAATTCAACACCAAAAGAAGAACTGGATTAACGAAGGCGTGCACAAAAGCCACATGGAGCGTGACTTGATAAGTAAGTGAGGTGGAAGTTAGGCCTGGTTGGACCAGAGTAATGATGAAGAGTGGTCCCCAGAAGAGAACGTAAGCCAACAAGAGGATAATGAACATCTTCACACGCTGGAGAGACTCTTGTTCAGTACGGTGAATGTAACTGTGTATATGTTCACTTTCTCCGAGTTCCCTGTCTGGCCGTATTGAAACCATAGTAGTTACCAGACTGGCCAGTCGGGTGGCCTCCATACTGGTCTTGTTGAGGTCTTGGTAGAGCTTTCGCAGGTGAACACCGGTTAGTATAACGCACAGCATATTGACCGTGACCCATAGCACGTTTAACACGTAGTGTCGGACTGGGCCATAGACGATAGGACACACCTCTCCTACCGTTGTTTCCTTAGCACTTGACAGAGCACCGCTCAAAAATGTAGGACCAAGGTTGATTGTGATACTCGAAAACCAGATAATGAAAAATCCAAAAATTATACACTGGCGACTGTCCAGTGGGAGAGTCGCGGAACCGTTGGAAGTTTGCTCTGGGTCTGGAATCATGGGGGCATTATTGATGACCGATGTGAGGAGATTAACAGTAGATACAGTGACAAGCAGAAGAAACGCTGTTTCGAGGATAGAGCATTTGAATAGTTTCTGACACAAGAGGACACTTACACCGAGTGGTACCAGAAGACTAGCCCTAGCACAGTCTACCAATCCCTGGTGAAACAGCAATCCCTGTGACCACCTGAAAAAAAAAGGTTAAAGACAGTTATTTATACACACGAGATATTGGAATACGAATATAATGACACATTCCAAACTTATAGCTTTATGCATGCCTGTTATACCAAACTATTTATCTGATTTCTGTTGTGGAGATGGAAAGAGAGTTAAGAAGCTATTTGTTGATCCATAATAGTTGGTATGAATATCATGTTTGCCATAGATGAGTGGGAAGCTGCTGATGTTATAGGAAAAAATAGATTCTTAGAGAAGAAGAACGTTCTCTCAAAAATTGCCAATGTTCATTGCAGCCAGGCTATATTTGGGAGGGGGGGGGAGGATTACACATAAAATATAGAACGTAAGTTGTAGTTCTTAACAGTGCTCTTTTTGGGTCTGAATTTTTATGAACGGAAAGTACCTAATAATGTAATAATTTTACGGTTGTTTAATTTTATTTGTAGACATTGATCCTAACAGTTTCTGACTTCGTTGTTTTTTTTTTTTGTAGTGAAACGTGGGTTTGAAATATTAGTTAAACAACGACATCTGATCCTTATGAAACAACTTACAATAAAGTTAAACTTTTGACTACATAATAATTTATTCTGGTGCGTGTTTAGTGGTATTTTTTTATAAATAGTTAACATTCGGAGAAATAGTGGTAGGATAAACCAATTTGGGTACAACACGTTCATGTATACAAATTTGTGAAACAAACAGATCTAGTATCTTTATTTCTTGGACTTTGAAGGGAAACTTTTAGCAGGATAGGCTTTGGGTAGAACACGTTCCCTTACTTCTGATGTGAAAATAAACATAGAGCTGGTTAGAAGCTAATGTCTTTATTTCTTGGACTTAGCTTTTAGCATAATGGGTTTTGTCCATTTTACTCTTTCAGATTTAAAAAAAAGTTAGTAGAGGGAAAGATCCCTAGATAAGTTTAAGTATGATAACACTGAGGTGTCTGTCTGCACTTGAATTTTTAAGAGGACAATATTCGTATTTAAAGGTGGGATCCATTTCTTCCAGAAACGTAGAAAATCTGTTTCAGGTGCTTCATAATTTACGTTATACGTACTTGTGGATATTTCGCTTAGAATTTTCATTTTTTTACATGCTTATTATGATTGTATAAGATATTTTAGTAACAAGCATAAAACTCCTTAAACCAAAATGGTACTTGAAGATTGTGGGTTTATGATTACTTTTGTACTAAATTAAACATAAACGTGTACCTTCGTAGTGGACGCTTGAGGACAATAAGCACCATTAGAAACAAGTTAGCGCCCATCCCTAAAATGGCGATGGTAAACAAAGCTATAGCTTCTGTCGTCTTCACAGGGTGGCAAGGTCCTTCAAGTTGTCTGGTTACTGTGTCGTTGTTGGAACTTCCCGTTCCAAACCTCACCACGTTCATCTTCTCTGTTGAGAAAAAAAGATGTAAAAAAATGTACTGAAGGAAGACAGTTATCTAACCACGTGGGTTTTAGAGTTTAAGTTTATTAAAAAGATCAGAGGTTTTAAGGTTAGCCTGGCCTATTTTAAATCCCGTATTCAAATAATTAAAATGTGTGTGTGTCTGTATATATATATAAATTATTGTGACTTTTACTTGATCTCTGCATGGGCCCCCCCAGTGGCACAGCGGAATGTCTGCGGACTTACAACGCTAGAAACCGGGTTTCGATACCCTTGGTGGGTAGAGCACAGATAGCCCATTGTGTAGCTTTGTGCTTAAATTCAAAATAAACAATCTCTGCGTGGAATATCATTTTTGCTAAGCCGAATATTCATATTTGTTAGCACAGTGTTTTTTATCTCGTCCTTTTTACGCTTGCATTCGGAAGAAAAAAGTCTTTCTATATATTAACGTATTTAGTGACATCCCGTGCCTTAGCTCAGAAGGATTTGTTCCATGCTTTATAAACTACGGCAGTCTGCAAGTCCTGTATATAGCAAGAGATACCGGGAAAGATCTCTAGATAGGTTTAAGAATGATAACATCGCAGTATTTTCCTCGGAGCTTTTTACTTTACCTCAGTAGATTGTAAAGATCCCGAGGTAAGTTTGGGTATGTTAACATTGCGGTCTGGCTCTCAGTGTTTTTAGCGTACGTTAGGAAAGTTTTTCAGCCTGTGTACCCAACCACATTAAAAGTTATGTAGCGAGGTACATGTATTTGTCAGAATTAGAGCATCATTTAACCTGAAAATTTAGCTTATTGTCTTGCAAATACAATAAACTAGTTTTGCTAGAAATTGTAGTCTGATCTTTAGTTATTTAGTTTTACTATATTAGTCAGATTGTAGAGCTATGTTTGTGTAGTCGCGCGGTCATTGTTACTTGATTATCAAGAAAAAATTACAAATAAATAGCATAGCTACGTTATCACCATAGAATCGACAAATAAAACACGTGAGGAAGGGCTGTGTGCAGGATGGGAATTCCTGAGCTTAAAAACAGTATTATCTAAAATAAAGAATTGAGAACAAAATTGGATTCTGATTTCGTTTCACGACAATTCATTCGACTTTAGAATAAATTTGGTTTCTTAAATCCTGTATTCGGTATTCCTGTGTGTTTTTATCACTGATGTGACATCTCTTTACCTGCGAATTTATCTTTCTACTTCTGTCTACTCAACTACAGACGCAGCGTTAAAGTTCGTTTGTTGACGTTCCGTGTAATCAAAATCCTGTAGGTTACTATAGTAGCATATGTTGTTATAATTACCGTTCATACGAAATGTGTCTTTTATAGCATCTTATGCACCAAAAGAAATCAACGGTTTTAAATTAAGAAACAACGGTTTTTAAGCACAGTTATATTTCTTGTAGAAAACAGATTACATTTCAGTCTTCTACAGACCAAGGGATTGTCGAAATATGTATGTTTTCGACAACAGATATCATCGAGCTTACAAATCGTTATTTGTTCGTTTACTACTGTAGAAGCACAATGTACTTCCCAACCATAAGTAAATCAACTTTTGATGGAATATAATGATGTAACAAAAGTAATAAATATTTAATTTAGGAATGGTGGCTAAAAATAGGGTAGGCTTTATATTTCGTGCTTTACATTTTACTGGTACAAAATTTCTGTAATTATTTCAACTAATAATCTCTTAATCAATTAACGTTTTTCTTGGATTGTTTTGCTGTCTCACAACTGAGTTCCGCAGGAAAGAACGATCTACAGGCTGTATAGAAAAGGCCTATGAGGTAGTATGTTTTTTCTAGCCGAGTTTTGTGGAAATAGAAGTTTTATTTTTGAATGACTAAAAACTACAAAATAATGAGCCATGTTTTTCGTACTTTAAGAAATCAACACTACAAGAACGTCAAAGTGCGTTAGATTTTTCAAGTTTCAGCTGCTAACAAAACATGGCATTCTGTTAATTGTCTAACTATGAAAATGTAGTTTTATCAGTGAAATACAAGTTATTTCCCTTTTTATCTTAAACTCCTAGTACATGTAATAATACAATAGAACGTGGTTGGTCTGTTTCATAAATGCATTCCAGAACGCTCAACTACCAAGATATCGATTTCTGTGCAAGTACGTTACACAGAGGTCATTTGCATATGTTGCGGATTGTGTTTATTATCACACAATTCGATGCGACAATACCACTGGTCAAAACGTTTTCTCCTTCAAAATTTTATTGTTCATTGTTATCTCCAGGCAATAAATTGCCCAAATAGTCCAGAAGTAAATATAGTGAAAACAATTCACCAGAGATTTGCGCACAGCTCTCGGAATTAGATTGACTGTACTGGTAGAAACTGTTGTATGTTTGTTACGTGTCACAATGTACTCAAGCTCTACAACAGCATGTGTAATGCACGTGGTAAGGACACTTAGATCAAACGTTTCTTTGAGGTATTGTTTGTAAGTACATGTGTAATGCACGTATTGAGGATACTTTACACCCTGGTCTCTCGTGTAATGCTTTTAAGTACATCTGTAATGCACGTATTGGGATTCTATATACCCGTACCCAAATCTCACATATAGTAAACTTTATAATAATCAGATACTTGGCATAATACTCCTGAAAAAGTGATCAATAAAAACAACAATATTAGCTTTCAATCCACTCTTTAACATTAAGGTATTAATCTTTAGGCGATTGTGAAACTACGAAACTTCTCATTTAGTTTTGCACAACTATTTATATTATAAAAGAGAAAAATTTAGATTTCCATTTGATGATACTTATGACAATCATTGTGTTTTTTTAAATATATATGTAGATATAATATTTACCGGGGGCTTTAATATCATCAGTGTTAACATTTTAAAATACATCTGATGAAAAAGTATTGTATTTTTACCAAGTATTTTAAAATAAATTATAATCAGTTTTGCGTATTAATCGTGTATGCATTAAGGTGTTATTTTCTATTCTTATGTATGGATGTGAATTATATAAAGGTGATTTATTTATACATTGCTTCATAAACTTTTAAGGTTTTCCTTTGTAACATACCTCATCTACATGATTTAAATAAATTTACCAAATTATTTAAACTATTCAGTAACTCACTTTACCAAATGCATTTTCAAGCTTCTCATTATTGACGTTGTTAAAAAGTTTGTACCTTTTAATTCGGTATAGTTTCCCTGTTAATTTAATAATGCAATCCTTGAGCATCTTACATCTGTTTTTAAAACCTTACAACAAGACTTGTAGGCTGTGACTGCAGCATGTATTGAAACATTGGACTTTTTATTTTGTTTTTTAGCTTTTGATAAAGCTTTTCCTGTTCCACATTTCTGTCAGCGTTTTTTCCATTCTTAAGTATTAAGTTGTCAAGAAATTAATGTCGCATTTTGGAACACTTTCATCAACCATACCCTAAAAACATCACGTATAATAGTTAAACGAACCGCCTAAGCATCACGTTAGTGTAGCCTATATAATGTGTAAAGTTTAGTATACTCTAATCCCTTACAGTGATGGCATACGATGAGACACACATTCGGCGTGTAATGCTGTTTGAATGCAAGAAGGGAAACAACGCCTCTGTAGCTACAAAGAATATCAAAGAATTTTATGGAAATGTTTTGAACGTTCGTAAGTGTCAACGATGGTTCAGAAAATTAAGTTCAGGTGACTTTAGCCTTAAAAACTGTGATGTCAGGGGCCGACATGTTGGAATTGATATTGATGCTCTGAAGACTCTTGTTGGCTCTAACCCAAGGCAATACACTCGTGAAATGGTCATGAAATTGCATGTCTCTCATAAACTCCATAAAGAATGTATTTGGGTGCTTCACGAACTCTCCGATGATCACCGTTTCCAACGTGTGAACGTTGCTTAGTCTCTTCTGGCGCGTGAATAATTTTTGGACAGAATTGTCACCGATGATGAAAAATAGATTCTCTATGCGAATATTAAACGCCAAAAACAATGGCTCAGTCGTAGACAAAAACCACTTCCGACCCCAAAACCTGGAATCCATTCGCAGAAAGTGATGCTTTGCATTTGGTGGGACATCAAAGGAGTAATTCATTTCGACCTCCTCAATCCACAGCGAACTGTCAATGCAGAGATTATATATAGTCAGCAACTGGAACGTTTAAATCAAGACCTTCATCAGAAACGCCCTTCACTAGTCAATCGGAAAGGTGCTCTTCTTCTCCACGACAATGCACGTCCACATGTTGCACGTTTGACGCAACACAAGATTATCGAGTTGGGTTGGGAAGTTCTCCCCCACCCACAATATTCTCCAGATATGGCACCATCTTAACGGGAAAACGTATGCAAATGTGGAAGGTGTTATAGAGTACATCGACATGTTTTTTGCTCCAAAGCCAAATGATTTCTTTAATCAGTACCTAATACTTTAGTATCAACGGACGTCATAGATTAGCAACATATTCTGGAACTGTACGCAAGCTTGTATAATACTTTTAAAAGATACGAAAGTTTGTCAATAATTACTTTAGTAACATTTATTTTGAACATTTGAAAATTTAATTGATTACACTGTTTCTGTACCATTTTTTGTATTTTTATTTTTTTTGCAGAAAGTTTTGGGGTCGGGCGTGGTACAGTTTTTAGTGTGGCCAGTCTATGAATCCTGTGTTCACGGTTCACGTCCCTTTCCTTCAAAAACCACATTTCGCGTATTGGGGTCTTGGGTGCGATATAAAAATGGTGGTCACATCACACTATTTGGTCAGATAAGAGTTGGCAGTGATGGGTGCTACATTTTCTCTGTTATTATTAGTTCAAAGTTATAGACGGATATTTGATAAACTCTCTGATAGCATTGTGCAATAATTATAAAACAAAGCATAAATTAATTTTATACATATTTTGTATTAAAATTAACAGAATTTCACTACATTGAAAATTAGTTTTTGCGAAATTTCTAAGATAAGCCCCCCAGTGGCACAGTG